CCTGACCTTGAATGTCTCTAGGGATGGGGCCACCACCAACTCTCTGGGCAACCTGTTCCAGTGTTTTACAACCCTCATAGTAAAGACCTTAGATCACTCTACCTTCCACGCAAAGTAAATCCATAATTAAATGATGCTTTAAATGCTCAGACCATTGTGGTTTCCCACTTCAGTTATGAACATGAAGTCTGCCTGGTCAGGCCTACTGGGAGTGCCTCTCATACAGGCTTTCACAAGCTTGCAAGGAACTTCTTGTGGTCAAGAGCAGTGTGTGTCTTAGTTTAAATACAAGAGTCTTCTACAGAAGGCCAGCAGAATCAAGTGGGTGAAGATAAAAGCCTGTGCACACAGATTAAATGGGGAGTGGCTAATAGTTCTTGTAAGGAGCAAGAGGACATTTTTTGCTGAAGTTTCTCTAAGCAGTAAAGGATTCTTATTGAAGTGTGTGTGTAGCAGTGGGGAAAGGTACTTGGTTACTGCAGACTAGGTCATTTAGAAATCATCCCCTCACCTTTCAGACAGCATGCTCAACCTGTGCTGGCAAGAGATGTCAATTATTTGCAACTAATGGACCTACATGACCTCTTCAACAGCTGCAATGGTGCAAGGACCGAAATGTGCTCTTCAACCACATGATGTTGAAAAAACCCTACATCATTTCTAGAATGAAAAGAAGAAAGTAAGGACAAGGTGCATTAACCAAACCACCACTCTCAGACCAAAAAAAAAAAAAAGATTAAAAAAAAAAAAAAGATGCAGAAGCTGGAAGGTGGCACAGTGTTTGTGTGCTGAACGTGTGCTCAGAAGAGCAGCTGAGGTGAAAGCCAGAGCAAGAAGGATTTGGTGTTCTGGGGGCAGGAACAAGGATGCAAAGCACCTGATTCTCTGTTTGAGCTTGACAGAGGAGGGGGGTCACTCGAGGCAGCCCCGTAGGCAGCTGGGATGGGCAGGCTCCAAGAGGCAATCCTGCCTAGAAGATGAATGTTGCCCTCTGGTAAAGCCTTGGTTGCTCACTCTCCATTTGCTTATACAGGAAGCCTGGGGCTGAATATAAAAGGACTAAATTTTATGTGGTAAAAAACATACTTATGTTCTGGCTGTACACAGAAAAGGATGCTACAAAGAAAACTATTGCCACTGTTTAGGCAATCCATATAAATACTGTGCCATATAAATCTGGCAAATAAAGTGGTTGCGACTAAAAAAGTGCAGAGTTGGCTGATTATTTAAAGCAATTTGGTTTCATTTGCCTTACAGGCTCTCTTTATGTTGTTACAAATTACTTTTTGGATTGTACTTCATAAAGCAGAATATTTGAAGTACCTTGCTGCACAGCAGGCTCTCTCCAGAAAGCTGGATTCCGCCCTAACAGCTTTATAAGTGTGAAAAACTTGCTGGCAGTCCTGAGCTGTGCCATCAGCTACCAACTTCAGCACCTCTCAATGTGTTCTGCTGGCATTCAGTGTGGTGACTACAATTATCAAACAAGGAAACAGAAGCATTTCCTCCCTCTACCCCATGAAAAAAGGAGAGGCATTCAAGGTAAATGTAAACATAGCTCAGGTTCAGTGTAGGCATGCACCTGTGTGACTAACTCGAGGGGGGCTCTTCCTACACAGTGAACCTCACACCATTGTGGTCACCTTGTCACCACCAGATGCCAACATCTATTTGATCCTTTGAACCTTTGAGGAACCACCTACCATGCAGGCTACACCCTGACTGTTTTATGACAATTAGATAAGGAGGACACTCAGCAGAATTTGTTTTCATTAAAAGTAGTATCCAAATCCAGCTCTTTGAAGATGCGAGGAACAGAGCATCTTTCCTGTAGTGAATTTCCTAAATCATAAAGCCATGTGTATTTTCCTCAGTTTGTAAGAAGCTTTGGTGGAAATAATGCACCTACTACATCATGTTACATAAGCAACTCACACCAGTATCTTCCTTCCACATTTCTGAGTGCTTCCCCCCACACACACAGCAGAAGGCATTTTCATGTAATGAGATGTACTTTATTTTCTACAATATCCATGGTTTCTATGATTACAGAATTAGAAGAGCATGAATTCAGAGGACATTTCTGTAATTTAATCATTCGCAGATAAGCTAACTATATATTCCATATGAATTACTATTTGCTTGATTGCATGACATTCCAGCAATAGTAACTGTTTTAATGCAACAGCTGAGATGGTCCAGCCCTCACACACACCCCCACTCCAGCAATAAAAATCTTGAGCCATGCCAAAAGCCTTCAGAACTGTCAAATTATATGACATTAAAAAGGCAGGTTACTCAACAAAAGGCTTGCCTGGAGAAATGGCTGCAGGCATAGAAAGCACGGTATGCATAAGATCAGATGCCAAGGAAGGTTTTCAGCAGTTCCAGGCAAGGCATTTTTTGGGTCTCATGAATTCATGCAATAAATTCCACTAGCAGAAGATTCAATACCCACACTGTCAAGCAAGTCCTTCTTTTTCTGTCATCATCCAAAATACAGAAATGTTGGGTCATTCCTAGGCTCTCTTCTGGAGTGAAACAACTCTTCCTGGAATAAAACCCAGTCACTGCTTTGGTAACTTGCTCAACAGATGCTCCCAAAATGCAGCAAGGACCAGGCTGAACCAGTTTTGGCTTCCTTTGCTGTATACAAACACGCAAAGCCATCCCAGCAGGCTCTGACCCCTCAAATGTCACATCCTCCTTTATTTCATGCTATTAATTCCAGTGGGCTGCAAAGTCCCCCGGTCCTTAGATTGTTTCAGGCCTTTGAACTGAAAACCAAGCAAAACATACTGACAATAATTATGCCTTATGGTCATGGCTATGCCATGTGGGGCTGGAGAAGAGGAGATACGTGCTGTGAGTGTGGACCTGGCTGGTCTGCTCTAGAGAAGGCTGATGTTGAGCAACACGGTGCTGCTGTGGTGCTTGGCCTGGGACAAGGGAACTGTTCTGGTGGGGGAGCAGCCTTTGGCACCAAAGCTGAGACCACTGTCTGCCTGTGAGGATATGTGTGGCAGGGGGGAATACCAAAGGTTTCTAAAGCATCTCCTCTAGAAGTATCTTGCTTCATTTTGGAAACACTGACATTATCTGAAGGGGGTACGCTCCGTGCACAGATGTGTACAAAGATTGCTGCCGGTTTGGTGTGGATCTTGAAAGGTCATGGCTTCCACGAGTGCTTGCCAAAGTTGACAAACAAAACAGCTTTCAGACAAGAAAATTGACATCTCCTGACCCTTCTGGCAGCTGACAACTGTCCAGGGTGGGGTTTAGCATAAGAAAGCATGAACAGACTGGGTTTCCAGTCATGAATCACGGGGAGTTGGATTTGAATCATTTGCTACTTCTGCTCTACAATGCCCTTGTAGCCCTTTGGTGCTGCAGCCCTTCTCTGTCCCTGCAAGTCTTCCCTGTGTCTCCTCTCCATCTCACACGGTCATTCTCTGCACGCTTCTGGCTCGCCTTGTTTGTGATACATCAAACTGACTGGTTGACCTGGTGGTTTTCCACATCACTTGTGACCTTAGGCTCCTTCCAAACCAGCCCCGTGGTGATGCATTGTATACAACTTTATCATGCAAGCTCTTCTTGATTCTGCAGCAACTGTATTTCCTTTCTTTAAAGCATTTAAAAAGCAAAGCAGAGAAGATGACATGAAGAAAGCTGCAAGCCAGAGGTTTTTAAATCTCTGTCACCAGCTTGCTGTGCGATCTCTGCCCTTGGGCACAGAGCTCCTCTGTAATGCTGCTCTCCCCAGAGGAACCAGTAGATTATGGGGATTACTGTTGGTATAATGTTCCCCAAGATACGGGCAAGACAAAGAAGATGCAGAGGATGTGCCAGCAAAAAAATCCCTCAATGGTCAGGTGTTGGCAAGCCACACTGCTGAGATAACCACTGCCTGCCTGCACCCCAGCAGGCAGAAGGGGCATGAAAGGATTCTTCAGGGCTAAAGCCGTGCAGCGTGGCATCCTTGGTGTGCCACCTGCAGCAGGAGAAGAGCATGTGCTTCCTGGTATAGCATCCTTGTGTGTCCTGCACTTGTGGATTGCACTTAGGGATTTGTTACTTGAACATGCAATTAAGGAAAAAAAAAAAAAAAAAATAAAGCCCATACTTTTTAAAGACTCCTCCTCCACTTTCTCTTGACTGTTTCTGTTACCCCAGCCCCTCTTTGCAGAGCCGCGCCATGAGAAAGGATCGCCCCGACTCCACTCTCATTTTAAAATGCTTCTTTTTATTTCAGTGGTTGTACATTGGGTGAATGAATTTAACGTCACAACAGAAATAGAATGGCTATTTTAACAGACCACTAGTAGTTATATGCTGAAAAAGAGTGAATGGAGGGGTTTCTTTTAACTGTTAGCGAATTATTCATCGTACGTGTCGTCAATTATGCTGGATGAGAGAGGCAAACAAAAAGGTATTTTTGGTGAGGTGCTGTATCTTTTGAAGAAAATAAACACTGAGACACCTCAAGTAACTTGAAACCATGTCCCAGCTACAGTATTCACTGTCTCTGTGTTGGCCCATCTCATGGTTCTTTTAGGGGGTTTTATTTGTTGGGTGTTTTGGTTTTTTTTTAATTAAACAAAGCATTTAAAATTTAATCATTTTCATTAGACTTTTTTTTTTTTTTTTAATATAAACAAAGTTTTGGCAAATAATATTTATACAGAAAAATAGTTTTAGATCTTCCCAAATTTTGAAATAGTCTATAAAATTACTTTATAAATAAATAAAATGCAGAATCTGTTGTACATGTATTTGCACATCTCTGTAATTGCCTCCTTACTGTTAGCATAGGTTTGTACTTGTACAGTTCTCAGGAATATTACAAAGTCATAAAGTCGGAAAGTGGATCTCTTATTAAAAATACATTTTCTCTTTTTGTCTGTCAGTTTATCCTCCACTTTCTCTTGACTGTTTCTGTTACCCCAGCCCCTCTTTGCAGAGCCGCGCCATGAGAAAGGATCGCCCCGACTCCACTCTCATTTTAAAATGCTTCTTTTTATTTCAGTGGTTGTACATTGGGTGAATGAATTTAACGTCACAACAGAAATAGAATGGCTATTTTAACAGACCACTAGTAGTTATATGCTGAAAAAGAGTGAATGGAGGGGTTTCTTTTAACTGTTAGCGAATTATTCATCGTACGTGTCGTCAATTATGCTGGATGAGAGAGGCAAACAAAAAGGTATTTTTGGTGAGGTGCTGTATCTTTTGAAGAAAATAAACACTGAGACACCTCAAGTAACTTGAAACCATGTCCCAGCTACAGTATTCACTGTCTCTGTGTTGGCCCATCTCATGGTTCTTTTAGGGGGTTTTATTTGTTGGGTGTTTTGGTTTTTTTTTAATTAAACAAAGCATTTAAAATTTAATCATTTTCATTAGACTTTTTTTTTTTTTTAATATAAACAAAGTTTTGGCAAATAATATTTATACAGAAAAATAGTTTTAGATCTTCCCAAATTTTGAAATAGTCTATAAAATTACTTTATAAATAAATAAAATGCAGAATCTGTTGTACATGTATTTGCACATCTCTGTAATTGCCTCCTTACTGTTAGCATAGGTTTGTACTTGTACAGTTCTCAGGAATATTACAAAGTCATAAAGTCGGAAAGTGGATCTCTTATTAAAAATACATTTTCTCTTTTTGTCTGTCAGTTTATCTGGATGAAAGACCTGATGTATCTGAAGCTTCGTCATCCATGGGCAAAAAATAGTAGTATTGGATTAATTGTAAAAAACATAGAATAACAGTTATTTTGAAACATAAAAAGTTCACACAAAACAATGTCTTGAAGGGTTATCTACATAAAATATTTAAACAACATGGATAATTTACCATTTAGTATTATACAATAAGCTACCCAAATGCCTAAATTAACTATTATAAAAAAATAAAAACAACTTTGACAGATATAGGCAAGTTGCAGTGTCAACTACCTAGTTATAATGACTGAGAAAGTCTACAAATATTAGTGTTTTAATAGTATATAATGGTGATACCTTAACTGCTAAAGTAACAAGTTAAGATACAGTATTTTTCCACAAATTAAAACTAACGCAACGTTACAAGCACTATGTTAATTTTACAATCGAATCGTGATTATTCTTTTCTTTTGGATGATCAAATCTCCAGCTTTATATATAAATAGATAGTAATTAGACATCGGACGAACAAGATTTAGCCCAGAAAATAATTTCCTAGACAAATAATTATATGGTTAGTGCCTTCAGTCGTTCAGAACAGGCAGTGCTGCCAAAGTTCAAAATAGTTTACAATCAATCTGAAGAGGTTAAGTTAAAATACTGCAATCACTAATAATGTCCACATAGAAAACTTATGCTGCAAACAATTATACATAATATCCACTTATAACAGCTGTCTTGTTTTTTTAAACAATAATTTAAAAACTATGTCATTTATGTGATACATGTGCAACATATAAAATGTGAAATATGAAATATTTGGTACAATAGTGCTTGAAACAAATCTCAAATCAAACAAATGAAATTTTAATTATACATATATAATTACCTTGTAAATCAACAAAGTATTTAAAAAAGTAAACAACATTAAAATCTGCTTCATCCATATATATGTATGTATGTATATATAATATGTATATAATTGTATTAAAGATATCTTCATACTTTTGTGACATAAAATATGTTTTTAAAGAAAAACAATTAAAAGAACTATTTTCTTCTCCACTCTAATCTGGTTACAATCTTATAATCCAATTTAAAAAAACGCAAATACAGTCATGATTTATTAAACTGAATCTCATTCTACATTCTTAGTGTTCAGTTAATAGTCTAGATTAAAGTCACCTATGAAGTGACTCAACTGAATTTTAATTAAATTAGAGTATCGTACAAATCTCTTCATCTGCAGCCTTATTTTTTGCCTTTTATTAGTTTGGTCTTTTTTGTTGTTGTTGTTTGATTTCACACTTCTAGAAGTTACTTCTTTACAGCTTGGATCTTTTTTGGTAACCTGACTAGGAGTTTGAAAGATTATTCGCTTCCGGTGAGATTTGACCGTTGGCATCAGGCTCACTTTCATCAAGTCTGATGTGACAAAATTTAGGCACTTCTGCAAAGTCTCTTCTAAAAACATTATAAATATACTCGCAAAATAATATTCTCAAGACTTTGTTCTTTTGGGGATTGAAAGGGGTATGAAGTACACACTGTGCAAATTATTTTATTATTTTTTAAAATTTTCTTCTGCTATTCTGCTATGATTCAAATGCAACTTCTCCATACAAGCCAAACACCAACCATGTGCATCTAAAGAATTTGTGCTTTGCTTTGGACTTCTGGCTAAAAATCTTCGGATTGGCAGGGTGTTGTGCAGGACACTGGGCTGTGTTTCACTTCCTCTGCCTTGGAATCCACTCACTAGGGGAGCAAAACCAAGACTGTTGTTTGTGATTGTTTGGTTTTTTTTCAACCGAGAAGAAAAACCCCAATCATAGTGCGGGTGAAAATTAAATCTGCAACTGGGATAAGTTTTTAGCCAATACAACTTAATTATTGCTGAGCTCGGAAGATTCATGAACACTGAATCTAACGAGACGAACTTAATTGGACCGTTTCCGTTAGGTATAGTCATGGAGAAAAGACAAGAATTAAACTATGCTTAGAAAACCTTTAAAACTAAATGTTACCCTTTATGTCTTGAAACATCACAGCTGGTATCAGGTAGTTAACTATTTTAGGTTGGAGTATAGTAAGCATACCATATTTAATATTCATATATGACATAGCAGCACTAGCTTTTTCGAGTTTCGTGATTTGTCCGTAAGAACAAATTCTTGACTTAGCATGCAGTTTGTGGCAACTCTAGAGAGGAGGAGACGGGGTAGTATGTACAGTAGCCGTGCTTGGCCGCCCGCAGGGAGGCTTCGTGACACTCCGTTCCGCTCCTGCCGGCTATTTCAGGATTATCTGTTGAGAGAAAGGAAAGCGTGATCGCGCTTTTAGGTGACGCGGGGAGAGCAGCTGGCCCAGCCAGGCGCAAGCGGGTACGGGATAGCATCCTGTGGCCCTCACACTGCCTGCGAGGCATTTGTGTCTCACAAATCTGGTCGTCCTCCTCCTCCTGCCCACGTGTCCTCACAGGGCATGAGGAAATGCAGAGGGGGTGTTTTCTGTGTCAAAATAGCGGAGGCTGCACCAAAGCCACCACAGAAGGGTGTAGGTGGGATGCATCCCGGTTGTCGGGGGGGGGGGAAGCAGCCCTGGCCTCCTGAGGAGGAGGCTGGGAAGTGCATTAGTGGGTGCCTGGTGTGATTCTCCAGCTCCCACTCTGCTCCCACAGAGTCAGGAATGACCAGAGGAAATGGGGGAGGCAAGGCCCCTCGCCACTATCAAGCAAAAAAACTGTATGGGGCCTGGTGTTTCCAAGGAGCTTATGTGTCTTTTCAATGCACTTTTAGGAGATGCTTATTTCCTAAAAAAAACAACTATCTGCAGGTCAGCAAACCTGAGAGGTTTTTCATGCTTCCTTACGTCAGGGTACCCAGGGGGTTGATCTTAATGATATCTCTGTGCATCTAGATAGTCACTAACCTTGCCGCTTCACCTCCACAATGTCTGAAACTGAGGGTGAAGGAACCATTTCACAGATGCAAACTCTCACGCTTCCAATACTGTGAAGGTTAAATGCACAGTGTGCCCAGCAACAAATTCAACCAGCTCACAGTAGTGGAAAACAGCCCAGATTTCCATCACCTGCGTGAAACGGCTGTCAGAGAACGTCACGTCAAAAAGCAGGGGTGCGACGTTTATCACACCACTGCTAATCTGTGCTCCAGACTTGAGCACAAGTCAGGGAATTAAGAGTGCATCGCCTGCTTTTCCTGTTTAATTTGGCACTCAACCTATTTTTGAAAGCTGTATTTGTAGGTGGCATGCAAGACACTCACGACAGCACTTTGACCTACTTGTGTATTACAAAGCTAGACTGCTGCTTAACGCAACACTTATTTTAAAAGGTGGAGGGGGGGGAAGAAAAAGTGTTTTGCACATAACTTCAGCAACATACTACCTCTGACATACAGATTGTCAAAAAGAAACACGCTTGCCTCTGCCTCGAAGGTGCTTGCTGTGGTGCCCCTGCCCCATCACATTTTAACACGACCTCACAACCCTAACTGCCTTGTTGTCTGTAAACAACTGCCAGCTCCCTGACCACACCTAAAGCCATCTTTGCCAAAAAATCATCTTTGATTACTGTCAGCTGGTGACACCCGAGGCCCCATTGTAATGGTACTGTACAAACACCTGCTGCTTCAAAGGGCTTCACATCTAAATACACCATACATACAAGAAGGACATATTTTTAATGAACTTCCACCCATTGTGAGTTTGTTGGCTTATTGCCTATCTTCCGTTTCCGATTGAAATAACAAACCTTTGCTGGAATAATAAAGCCATGCCTGTGCAAGCCCTGGTCCACCTACAGCATGGTGATTTGACACTACGTATGAAGAACGTAGCTGTGCTGAAAATAAGAAGTGACCAAGATTATCAGCACTGATATTTTTAGCATGTTACAACCCAACATGTCAATGTAATTAATAAAGCAGCTTTAGCTATACTGGGTTAGTCATAATCATGTAACTTTATTTAAAGGATCCTAAGGTGTGGTTTAAAGGGACACAAGCTGAAAACTCAAGCGTAAAAAGACCAGAATTTCAGACATGGCAGCTGCTTACATCATCTGCCAACTTTTGAGAGGATAAACTTGCATTTTCCTACAGCTTTTTTCTCCCCATTCAGGGAGACACATCACTGACCCTTATGCCAAGATGTCCTAGAGGGTCAAACTGCCCCACAAGATTGATGTTCCCAACACTCCTAGAATGTGTAGCAGAGGAGACAAGAGGGCCTAGGTTCAGGGTGTGTCTTGGGAAAAGGGTAGGACTATCCCTGGTGCTTTGATTTACCCAAGTGCAACTCACCCCACAGCGTGGGGGGGGGGGCAGCCTGGAAGAGCAGGGACCCCATCTCTGCCCTGCTCTGATGAGCAGCATAGCCCAGGTAAGGAATTCCACCACCTTGTCCCTATTCCTGTCATTTCTCCCCTCCTCTCCAAACTCAGGAAACAGCAAAGACAATGTAAAAGCTTGCCTTTTGTCCACAACCACGTCCTGTTTACGTGGCTGAGAGTGCAGGAGGAGCAGACAGAGCTTTCCCTGCCACGCTTCTCCCACCGCCAGCAGCCAGGGGCTGTCTTGCTCCCACTGCATCATCCCCACCAAGATGCCGCTTGTGCAGGGGATGTAACTAGGACATGCTGCACCCCAGCTATTTCTAGTACACGTAGGAGTCCTTCTAGGAAAAAAAAACAACCCAAACCCTCCAGTTTCTCCTTCGGAACAAGCTTCTCCAGTACGGAGATGAAGAATGGAGGAGCGACATTTTTTTTTAACCTCAGCCACCAAGTGTAAAATGTGCCTCCTAGCCTTTAACTGTATCTTCACACCCTATTTCTCAAAGCATATAAAGACTCTGCCATAGCTACATGCACATGTAGGAGCTTCTGCAACTGTTTTTTTCACAGTGTCTGACAGAGAAACATAAAATGCTGAGCTTCTTTATATGAAAAACACGCCGTGAACCTCTTCTGTTCAATCTACAAACAAGGTAATAATCTGTGATGGGAGACTGAGGCTGAGTCTGCACGGCTGCTAATTGCTCCATTACGAAAAAGGAGAAGCTGCACAGAACATACCAACCAAGGAACACTCCTTCAAACACTTATTACAGAGCCTGCACTCCTTCATTACTTGCAAACAGGCCAAACAACCTTCATGGTTGCTACTGTTTGAAGAATGACATCTCAAATTTACACCTATACAACTTCTCGTATTTGCAGCAATACTGCTATATCGTTGTATTTCACAGCGACTTGATACAAGGAGTACTGGCACTTTTACCATAGTATGGATGAGCATAAAAAAAGTGAAAAATAGGACCACACAATGTGTGTGAGTACATGCACTTCCATGTACAATACATACTTCCATGTACACTTCCACTGTCTATAGGTCAAGGGTACCACGATAAAGCATCTTCTCGTGGTCTGCATGGGTAAGATTGTATCCATATGCACAGGTGTGGGTATGACCTTCCAGAAAACATACTTCTGCTACTGCAGTAAGACGTCTAATAAGAACATTATTTCTAACAGAACAGAACCAGCCTGGCACTTACAGGGCTAGTAATACACAGAAGATTTAATTACAGCAAAGGGCATTTTTGAAGGCAATCACAGGCATAGGGTACTTCTTACCTGATACCCGTTTGAAGTGCCAGAAAGCTGGAGACCCTTTAGACTAAAATCACTAACATTGTGGCAATGTTAGTTACTAGATCTCACTGAAACTGCAAATACAGTGAAACTAAATTTCTGCAAACTACATTCTAAGAAGCATTTGCTTTTCCAAATGTTCCAGCTCTTCAGAGGTGGTTGACATGACTTCAACTCTTTTCTGTCAGAGCATGGCTCTTTTACACCTTTACTTTCAGTACCTCTGAATAACCACAGTGGTCATTAAGCCTCCTGTACAACACAGAACATCCCTGAATTTGGCCAGGGTTGCTCCCAAGAGTGAAAGAGTTCTGCAGTGCCATCCACAGGAATGACAACCAAGAGAGATGTTACTGCCAATGCTTTAAGCTTCTCTCTAAACTACCAACCCATGTAACACAGCAGACAGATTGACATCAGCTTGGGATTTCCTCAGATGCAGCAAAGGTGGCTGTGAGTGGCTATTGACTTCAGCCTTAAAAAGTAAAATCGAGAATCCTTTTTAAATTAAAGTGGAAATTCCACCCCTGTGAACTCTGTCCTAACACCCAGGTTACTACATACACTGCTTTATTTGATACAGTTCACAGAATTAACCGAATTACCTAGAATCATGATTGGGTGCTAAGAATTTCCAGACCACCGTTTGGTTTGAGACTTTGTTTTGAAGCTACAACTCATGAAGCTCCTTTACTCCTTTGTTCAATTCTCTTCCCAGTCCCAGATTTCTTATACAACAAAAAATGCAGAAAAAGTACCATTCTGCACTAATTTAGTGTACCTGAACTCTTGTTCTACTAAAGATCTGGCAAGGTGGAAAACGTGACTTTGCATCTACCTTTGAGATGTTTATCTTTCAGAAGTGTTGAAATTATTTCTCTAAATCACACTTTGCTCTGTAAGTGTTTATATAATTTAAGGGGGCATTAAGATCATATTTGACTTCCGCATTGCAAAACACTTACCCCTGCAAAAATTAACTCACACATAGCAAATATTTCAGCATTTCATTTTAAAAGCAATGTAGTAGGAGGAGCTTCTTGTAGACAAGGTTCATCACAGATTATTTCAGAAACTTATATTTCAGCTGATCACCCTATTCTACATCTTCCTAGCCTACTTCAGGCAACTTATTTTAGCATGAGACAGGCTATCAATTCATGAGGCCTTTCTCCCCTCCACCAAATCTAAGAGTTTGCAGTAAACAGTTCCCACTGAGGTATTTAACTTTCAGACACCTGCATCAGGGCAGATGAATCCTACCCCAGCGACATTTTCTATTTTCAGGTTTTTCACACAAGTAGCAGACTGGTCAGATATATCTAGGGTATACATTAAAACAACAGATATTTTCAGAGAGTCAGTTCATATCAGGCTGTCTCATAACTTCTCCTGCTTTCTAAAAATAAAACAAGCACCAAGTATTTCTTCCCTTTGACACGAAACCCAAGACTATTTATATTTCTCCATGCCTTTGGGAAATGCTTCCATGTCTTTATTTTTAATTTTCTCTTAGAATGCTGTTTTGTGCCATGGACCTTCTTCTTCAAAACAAATCACTCTTGCATTTTTTTTCCAATAAATAAATATTTATATTTTAATACATTTATAGTAAATATTCAGACACACA